GGCGTGTGGCACCGCTTTCAGTTCAGTACACCCTATCCTAAGTGTGTGTGTGTGGAAATTTATGGGTAAGCACCTCGAGGCATACAGGCATACTCTCTCTCTCTCTCCCCAAGAGCGTGTCCAAGCATGACACATCACACGCTTCAGCATCCCTTCGGCCATCGAAACAGCAACCCGTGCCTCTTCCTCCGTGGCGTGTGGCATGCCGTAGCGGATGTTCTCAATCACGGACCCCGTAAAGACACACTGATCCTGCAGTGTTTCGCCGTTCCCAATCCACCTGCCACCCAGTGCCATGTCGAGAGTCCGACCCGGACCCGGACCCGCCGGACGCCACGGTGCCCCGTTCGGTCCTGGGACACCCAAGAGACCGCTCGGTAGAGAGCCTGGAGGCGAACGTGGCGAACGCCGTTCCGAGCGGGGCGACGGAAGCCATGCGACCGGGTGTAGGAGGACCCGGGGGGTGCGTGGCGGCCACGGAGTGGTCTTAGCGAGTCGGCGGGTCCGCCGGAAGAACCTCGGCTCAAGACGGCAAGGCACCTGAGGATTCCACTTGGCCAGGTCAACGCCATCCACTTCAATGGCACCTCCACACGGGGAGCCAAGTTCCAAAAGCGCTTAACCCAATCAAAATGCAAAAGAAACGAAGTCAACTAGTCGACATAAAGTTGAAATAAGAAAAATAAAAGCCTTTGAGTTGCAACCCTACAAGTATAGTATTCCCACTTATATACTACATCTTACTATGTCGTATGCAGCAATGCACGTCTATGCCAAGAGTCACCGATTCTGGAACCAGTTTCACCTCATTTCACCTCCATGCTTTCCTCCCCTCTTCTCCGGGCCCTCCCTCCACATATGGTGCTTCGGAGCCTTTCTGCGGATCATAGAAGCGCAGCAGCAAGTTGAAGAGCGTGGACTTGCCGCAGCCCGACGGTCCCACGAGGCCCACCATGGAGCCACAGGGGATCTCGAAGGTCACCTCCTCCGCCCCGCGCGCGCCAAACGCGTGGACGGCCGCGGGAGGTCCGCCCCGCGAAACGTTCCGGTGGACAGGTTCGGCTTTTCTTCCAATTGTTGTCCACGTACAGCTATAGGCTATAGAGTTCGTCCCTGAGCTACTGAAGTTCGAGAGATGTGTTCTTGGCAGGCCACTGGTGGAGGGAACCAAAGCCGGTCGGGTCAGCATGCGGTCGGTACTGCTCGGTCGTACGTGCAGATCGCTCGGTCATGCTCCTTGAGAGCAGCAGCGTCCAAGTCGTCCGAATAGGAGAAGCAAACGCCCTTGGCCTCAATCCTTCCGTTGATCTTCTCGGTTGAAGGGCTGAACATACCTGTGGCACGGCAAGAAGTCTGAGAGATGCGGGAGGCTGGGCACTTTGCACCGACTAGGCATTACTAAACTAGGCTGATACTGATGAGGCATAGCGCAAGTTGATGCAAGTTCATGTCCACTCATCCAGTCATCAAGTGAAACATGTTGATACCAAATATATCCAGATATTCATATACAAATTACATCAAATGACCCTCATCCAAAAAGCTTTCTCATGTCCCTCTTCTCATGTCCCTCTTGGACGACCGCACACGACCGCGACAGGTCGACACCGCCGAGCGGCGTTCGTCGCCGAAGGGGATCTCGGGCGGACGCTCCAGGGCTTCCAGGACCGCCGCCTCGTCCGACAGCCGCGCGGCTGAAGAGAGGTGGGGGAGATCCGAGGAGGGACGTGAAAGGAGGCACCGGAGGCCAAAACCATCAAAAACAAAGACAGACAGACAGACAGACAAACAAACGGAGGGAGATTCTCTTTCACTACTCCAAAATCACCTCCTCTTATCTTCTTTTGCTTTTGTGGTTAGGGCTGCAAACCGCAAACCAGCGTTTGGGACGAAATCCGCACTTCCGCCAACCGGGTGGTGAACGCGACCAAGCGGCCGCGTCCTCCATGAAGGTGGACTGGTGGGTTAGCTGGCGTCTCAATTGGTAGAGCGGCCACACGGCCCTGAAGGATTTCGAGACGGCATCCTTCACTTCGGTGGCTTTGATGTAGTTCAAGTTCACCAAGATGCCGCCATACATGTAGGCCACTTGGAAGGTGAACTCCGAGACGAACCTTCTGGATCGAATGGGAGAGGTGAGGCGGGTGAGGCAGGTGAGGCAGGAGCTCAGGCCGTGCAAGGGAACATGGGAATTGAGAGGTGAAAGAAAGATGAAAACATATCAAAACCTGTCTGGAGCTGGCAAGTAAAGCAATAATATACAAATCTACGGCTTCGTCCAAGGGTTGCAGCAACTGAGGAAAAATCCAGAGAGAAGCACAGCAAACAACGCTTTTCCATGTCGTTCGACCGAGAAACCAACATCCCAAGTCCGTGAACTTGTCCACAACGTCACTGAAGCGAAGACGCAGTGCTTGGGCCATACACGAGTGAAAGGATTGCTTCTCTTTCTCCTCACCGAAAGGACACGCCCGCTCTCGTTTTCATATCTTTGTTTCTTGGTCTTTTCTTCTTTGGACCTCTTCACTCAGACCGACTCAGACCGACTCAGACCTTGTTCCTTCCAATCTTCCCTTTCCGTTTTTGCTTGATGTCATTGCATGGGATTGCCGCACTCCTCCCGGCCAAAGGCTCGCACCGTGCGAAAGTTCTGCAGGACTTCCAAGGCGTTCTCCTTGTGCGGAGAAAACAGGGGCGACCCCAAGATAAAATAAAACGGTGTTTCAATGTGTTTCAGGACTCTCTCCGGGTCAAAGAACTATTCAGGTAAGCAGGTATAGCTTCCGGACCCTAGGTAGAAGACCGTCTCATCCGACCCTTTTTTGGGATGCTTGGATTATGTTTGATTTGGATTTGGATCTCTGGTTTCGAGATTTCGGATTCTTCTTCACTTCCTGATATGTGCTCTTTGTCTTCTCCGGTCCATGTGTGCGTTTCCGACTGACCTGCTGGACGGATGCGCCCGCTCCTTGACCTCCTCCAGCTTGTGGTCGTGGTCTCGTGCCAGTCTCAAGATGTTGTCGAAGACGCTGTTGCCGATGTTCTGGAACGCAAACATGCCAATGCCAAAGGCGCACAGCCGCGGCTTCGAGAACCACAGAAAACCTGGTCTGGATGTCTCAAAAATGTGCCATAGAGAATCGAGAAACCAAAAAATGCTCAGCAACGAAGTTTATTAACTGCGAAGCATATGCAAGACGATCAGCACGTGTCGAAACTATCTGAAAGTCCCACTCAGATCAAGTCACGAAGTCACGAACTCAGAACTGACTTTCATTTGGCATTATTGGGCGGTGTGTGACAAATGGATCCCCCTTGCAATTCGGCCTCTGTCTTGGACTGTCTGATTCTTTAGGAATTCATGGTGGCCACTGCCAGCTTCGACCTTAAAGAATCCTGAATCCACAGTGCCCATATATACCAACATGGTAGCTTAAAGAATCAGGACTCTGCCAACACATACTGGGCACTGGCCCTAAAAAAACAGAACACGTTGAGTACAGTGCACACACCTCTTTGGAACCTGGACTCCCTCTAAAGAATGGGAACACCCACTCCACACAAGTACCAGTCCATGATGACAACAGCACACAACCATCCAATACAAAACAGGTTCAACCATGTGGTGCCATCTGAAGTGGTTATGTATCAACGTAATTGACTCTATCTCAATGTATCTTCATAATTCTTCATATATTTCCAGGAAAATGTTTGAACAGTGATGAAGAGTGATCATCATTGAACATTGTGATGTTATGACATGCTCACTTTTGATAAAGGCATTGCCATTGGATGCCATTGGCATTGAAAAAAGTGCACCTCTAAAGAATCACACTCCGCTGCCACTCTAAAAAATGTATGGTGAACTCTAAAGAACGGACTGCTTTTTGACAACCCGAGTTGTCTGATTCTTTAGGGGAAATGACAAGGGGGATACAAATGGTGCAGATTCTTAAGGAAGGTGAAAATGCGTCAATGAGATGAATCTGCCGTCTCTGCCACCAAGCAGCCAATGTTCATGACCAGATTCGAGGCCATGGTGATCAGCTGTGGAATTTGATTTGTGAAAACCCGCTGAACGTTGTCAGTGCGTTTCATCAAGGTCTTGTACAGCTCATCAGCACCTTGACATGAACAGTTCTTTCAAAACAGGACAGGTGCATGCGCTGCATGCACCATGCCACCATGCTCCTCCCAACCATTGTGGTTGTCAAAAAACGCTGATATGGACAGGGCCCGATTCCAGGATTAAAACAAATCAAAGCAAAAGGCTAAAGGTGAATAAAAAGGTATATAAATAAAGAGGTAAACCAAACGGCACAACAACAAAAAATGCAAGTCATTGAAATACAAAACAAAGGCAAAACAAACAGGCAATGGACGAGGTAAGAAAATTGCAAAGAAAAAATACTAAAAATTGCAAATTAAACTGAAGTAAGCAACGTCTTTTTTAATACATTATGGCCAAGCTTCCCTTTTGCTGGATCCACTTCACATCTTGTTGGATCAACTTTTGGAAAAGCTGCTCTTGAAGTCCTGAGCACCCGCCACATGCCCCCCATTACCCTTCCCATGTCATCCTTTCCGCTCTCAAATGGCGGGCAGAAATCCTTGGTACGCATGTATGAACAACTTTTTGCGACGTTTCTCGGAGGGACCATGAACCAAGGACATGGCTTTCACCGCACCCACAGAGTTGCCCCCAACATCACCCGACAGCAACACCCAGCTGACGCCTGACACCCACCTGACGCCTGCACCCGGCGCGCGCCCGGCTGGCCCGGTGTTTTAACGCCCAGAGTCGGCAACCAATGCGCTTGCCGGATCTTTCCATGAGCATCCGAGAGTTGGTAAAGAGTTGGTTCACCGCGCCCCAAATCATCAGCCCGTGGCCCAACACGCGCACCAACTCGCTCGTGTCCTTCCTGATGAGAATGGGCGTTGGTTCATGGGGCCGTTTAGATGAGAACAACATGTCGTCGATGAAGGTCTAATTAATTACAGTAGTCTAATTTGCTGAGAAGTTGAAGTGTTCACTCGCCATGTTTGACATGGCAAGACTGACAGAACTGCAGTTTTGTTGACTCCAAACTGGCAGTATGGAACACAAAAACGCTGCAGCCATGCATGTCCGACTTGCATAAACCCTTGCCAAGACCCCAGTCACCAGCACATAGAAGTACAACAACTCAGCCGACTTGCAGATCCAAGCGGCCCCACATGCTTCCCCGTGAAGAGGTCTGAGTCGTGCTGAATCGCCCAGTCAACCACCACATTCGCAACGAGACTCAGTGCTGTTCCAAGACCGATCTGAAGAAACTCTGGCGCAGCCACCTGTGACGAGAACGCGCGATTCTTGGATGTTTTTTGTTTTTTTTTTCTCTTCTCTTCCCTTCTCTTCTCTTCTCTTCTTTTCTCGTCTCGTCTCGTCTCTTCCCTTCCTTTCCCTTCCCCTCTCTCTCCCTCTTCTCTGCTCTCCTATGCTCCCCCCCACTCCCGCTCTCAGTCTCTCTCCCCCTCTCTCTCCCTTTTTGTTCTCTCTCTCTCTCTCTCTTTCTCTCTTTCTTTCTCTCTCTCTCTCTCTCTTTCTCTCTCCCTTTCTCGATCGATCACTCGATCAATCGGTATGGTCCGACATGGTCGGTCTGCGCCAAGCCTAGCTGCCACACAGCTGCCACAAAGGACACCACTCTTGTGGATTTTCCGATGTTCTCCAATGGTTTGGTCTGGGGTGAACATTTTCTTGCCCATCTCTCTGCAGAAAAATCCCGATGGCTCTTTGACCCCCACGCCTGTCTACGTCTATGCCTGTGTCTACTCACAGTCAGGGGGGGCCCAAAACATAATGTAATCCCAACTCTTCGCACCTTGGAAAAGCGCCACAGCAGTCGCCAAAAGGAGGGCGGTTTCTTTCCTGCGGTCAGGGACGCGCTGTGTCTCGAGCAGGCAGCACATGGGACGAGCCTGGAAAGAACACAGGTGCATACATAGTTGTTACCGAAAAACATTTCATGTTGGATCTTGGTTTGGCGGTCCTTCAAACTTGAACGTCTTCACTTCCTTCCACGACTTGCAGGTGAAGTCCTGCGCAACGCGCGACGGCCACGGCCAGCGGCCCGGCTTGACTCTCGACACCATCCGTTTGCTTTCACCTCCAAGTGACTGACGGGCCCCAATCCGAGGCGAGCGTCATTCCCTGGCTACTGCGCAAGCGTCGAACGAATGGATGTCATCACACCCATCTTGTCTACGGGTACGACACGGGCTCTACAGATCTCTACAGGCAGGGCTTCGTACAATTCAATCGCTCATGCATGGGGTTTGTTGGTGGAACCTAACTCTCAGGTCCCGGTTGCGCGAATCACTGCCCCGCCGCTGGCCAGCACTCAAAGTCTGTAGTCCGGCGGCATGGACTTTCTTAGACCATCTGCGAGTTGAGTTCATCTCCCTGCGGCTCATAGCAATCCATCGTCTTCCCACCGTCGGGCCATACATAGCCAATCTCAAGTTCGAAAACTCTATTCCAAGACGCTTTTTCGTCACAAGAAGCTATTTTGCAGCTCATCACGCACGTGCCAGCAAAGTTGCTAGGTCTGTGTATGTTGATGAGGGTGGTTTTGGTTTGCTTTCATTCTTGAAGCCAGCTTACCTTTCTACCCGCCAAAAGTTGGGGCATAGACAAGCCGACAGTGCTTTGGAGGAGCTTGCACGGCAAGCAGCTGGAACTCGTGGTTTGAGGGTTTGCACCACGCTTGTGAATGGTTTAGGTTTGGAAATTGTGATCTAGATTAACATCAAAAGTTGGTCAGACCATTGGCCGTTGTTCGCACAGCGACCATGTGTGCGCAGAAGTGATGCGCAAGGCGCACGGTCCAAGATACACACAGACCCGAGCAAACCTCCCAATGCAAATTGCAAGGGCCATGCCGTATATCACGCACAGCGCTGGCCAAAAGGAGAAGGGAAACCCCCCAAAACGGTGTAGAACCACTTGGGCATGAAGAGACCTCCCTCTTCCAAAAGAGTATATATATAGTAGTAGTAGTAGTAGTAGTAGTAGTCGTCGTCGTCGTCGTCGTCGTCGTCGTCGTCGTGGTGGTGGTGGTGGTGGTGGTGGTCGTCGTCGTCGTCGTCGTCGTCGTGGTAGTAGTAGTAGTAGTAGTAGTTAGTAGTTAGTAGTTAGTAGTTAGTAGTTGGTAGTTAGTAGTTAGTAGTTAGTAGTAGTAGTAGTAGTAATAATAGTAGTAGTAAGTAGTAGTAGTAGTAGTAGTAGTAGTAGTAGTAGTAGTAGTAGTAGTAGTAGTAGTAGTAGTATTAGTAGTAGTAGTAGTAGTGGTATTGGTAGTGGTAGTGGTAGTAGTCGTCGTCGTAGTAGTAGTCGTCGTA